ATATATATACACATATATACATAATGTATAAAATGAGAAAAAGAACTTTCCAACTACCAAATAATTTTGCAGCTGAAGAAGGGGATTTTAGGTTCACTTCCCTTATGTTTGAGATGCAGACATAACCTGTTAAAGAAGAGTGGTCATCTAAGCAAGGTCTCCCAGGCAGAAAGTCTAGAACTAGGCACTCTGGGAGTTCAGACACAAGCCTTCTCCATAGCATTACACAGTCTTTCCTTGAATGCCTCTTCCAAAATTTGTCAACTTTTAAACACTTTCATAATCTGTTTGTGCATGTATGTTGGCATCCTATAAAAGTTTTTAAGGAGTAAATCTATAAACCATATCTTTAGCACTTTTAGCACCATTTACCATTTGTTTACTTTTGGTTGCATTTGCGTAATTGATTGGGAATAAAGTAAGAAAGAGAAAAAAAAAAACTTTTGAATGTCACACCAATCCATTAGTTCCTTTAAATGCAATGCTATTTCCAGTACAACTGTATTAAAAATGACCTGCCATTGGGCAACTTGAATGTGTTTCATATGCCTGGAATATATGCCACTTGCATGTAAAGGAAATTACTGAGTGCCCTTAAGGACACATGATAAAATGTAACATTTATTTTTTCTACAGTTTGAATAATCCTTCTCCAAGCATGACTCATTACAGCCAACCTATTTATTTCTTTTCTTAATGTGAAAAAATAAAATTTACATTAAATTGTGCTTCAAAATATTCCCCCAATAGCTCCAGGAATCTGAGAGCCACTTTCTGTTGCACATGTAACACTTAGCACAAATACATAGTAACTTATATGAGAATCGTTAATTAGAAGTTAGCCAGCTTTATCTAAGAATTTTACATCAGCTGAGAATGGAGTACAAGACACTAAAAACAATTAAGAATTCCCCATGAGGTAATATTTATCTCTTAATGACTGCAGGGGAGATGATTTAACACGTTTCACTTACTGAACTAAGTCTTACACTAATATTAAAGATAAACTGAGTTAGGATAATTAAATGCTATCTCCAGATCACTTTATCTTCCATCCTTGAAAAAGATGGTGACTTAATTTATATAAAACAGGAGTTAGCAATGCTGTATTTAATTTAAGGATTATGAAGGTGAACACTTTGCTTATGCTTATAAAACCAGAACGACGTGAGTATAAAATACCCATCATACCCCTACTCTCCAAACCCCCAAAAGCGTACATATAAAAGCAATTACAATTTTAGAAAGAGCTGCAGACATTTTTCTGGGTGAACACTTCTGGAAAATATCCAGCCTAAATTTTTTGTCTATTAAAAACTTCAAAGATCAGTGTTTTTGTTTCCTTTTGCCTTTTTACCCCCAGTAGCTACTTAACCTGAACTTTCTCCAATAATAAGAGATGAGATTCCCTTCGCTAATAACTTTTGTTTCTCCCATGCCTAATGAAAGAATTTTCTGTTTACTGCTCATTTAGATATTGAAGATTATTTGGGGTGGGAGGGGGGCAAGTATTTTTTTTCACTGCAGAACTAGGTTAACTTGACTAACGTGAACTCAGAAAAGACCACTGGAAATGTGTGATATTTCCCAGAAACACAGGATACATCCATGAAGCTGAGAACATTCAGGGGGACATTTCTTGTTTCTTCTGTGAAGTTTGATTAAAGTTTTGCTTATGTTCATTTTGCCACTTTGAATTTTTAGCTTCTTAAAATATTTTACTCGCTTATTTTTTTTTCCTCTTCCCAGGGAGGAAGCAACTTACGGATCCTTGGAGTAGTGAAGTCGGATGAAGGTTTTTATCAATGTGTGGCAGAAAATGAGGCTGGAAATGCCCAGACCAGTGCACAGCTCATTGTCCCTAAGCCTGGTAAGATGATGGGAACTTTGCTCTGGTAACGCAGCTACAGTTCTGCATGGTCCATTTGGCAAATTTATATTGGTTTTCCTGCTTCAAGTCAATTTGAAATTATTTAATCAAGATGTACATTATGTATTGCTCATATATTCCTTCTAGAAAATGAGACAAATATATATCCCTCTTCCAACTGTTTTCTGCCCATCATGCTCTCCCGTGGTGGTGGTTCTATGCTCGGAGAAGAGAGCATTGCAGTCTCCCAGTGAAGGAAAGTCACCATGAACAACAGGGCCTCTGGCTGTCAAGAGAAACATGAAATTACTGCCATTTCACATTTTTTATGTCCTGTATTTCTCCCCAGTGTTTCATATTTATATGGAATATACACACACATACATACTCACAAATATATACATATAAATCTTAATATAGGGAATATATGTATATATCTTAATGTAGGCAATATATATACACACACACACCCATATGTCATTGTGAATCAATGGAAGTTGGCAGAAAAATAACAGAAACAATCACTTGAAAGTAAATCCTGGCAGGGTGTAAGGAATACACCCACCTGCAGATATAGGCTTGGTGGTGAGAAAAAGAAAAGAAAGAAAGTAAAAACTTCCTTCCTTCTCTTCTTTTAAACTAAATTTTGATAATTCATGCTTTTTTACTGTAATTGATGGAGTTGTTTTTGTTGTTCTTGTCTTTTGGATGTTCAGTATGGTGGTGTATTCAAAACTAGCCTAAATCTATATTAGATATGTCTATGTTACTCCCATAATAACACAGTTCCTGCCAAAGGGGCGTATTGGTTAGATGCTCTGAGATGTAACACTAAAAAAAGTAAAGAAAAAAAAAATTCTTTTTTTTTTTTAAGGAAGGGTTGGAAAGTTGTTTACATTGATCCAAATATTTTAACTAAAATATTAATACCTTCCATGAGACATGTTCATACCATCTCTTTATGTCAGTTTCAACTCTTTTTCAGACCAGTTGCCTTCCTCTTGACATGGCTCAGTCTTGTCTCAATCTTGCCCTGCAGTAAGTTTAGTAGAAAGTAGCTGTAATACATGAGACATAGTCTCTCTTCGGGTTTCATTGTTTAAAGTGTGCCAGTGAAGTCCTTACTCTTTTGTGTACACCTAGCCTTCTGTCTGAAGACGCTCATAATAATGCTCACAAAGATGACTTCCACTTTTTTCTTTATTGAAATAAAAGTAATGTAACCATAGAACAACAGTCCCAGATGAGTCAAGAAACAATCTAGGAATTAAAAGGGACAATCAACTCTCGTTCAAGATCACTGATTTTTCTGATGGGCTACTATTTTCCCTTCCGTTTAATGAGCTTTAAGTGTTAGTGTAATACCATTTGTGTGACTAAGTACATTCTCTTCTGCTGAAACAGCAATGGATAAGTAGGAGAAAAGACACCTCCAAAATCAATGTTCTCCTTAATTTTCTTTTCCTTTTTTTTTTTTTTTTAATGGCATATGTTTTCAGTATCGGGATGCATGCTTACTAATTGAGTGTGTTTAAATTTTTGGTTGGTAATATGGATTTTAAGAAATAGGATCTGGTAATATATGCCACCAATAAGGCAAGTGGCACTGTGGCACCACTGATTTGTGGTATGACAGTATGCCAATGGGAACCAGACAGAGAATTTATTGTGGGCACCTTTCCATTAAGTTATATGGGAAACTCTGGTTTTCCAAATAGGACACAGAAAAACCAAAACAAAGCCATCAGGGCTCCCTAACTATCACACAGGAAAGCCATAATTATGCTTGCAAGCCTTATCTCACAGAAATAGAGGGAAAAAAATGCAAGTCTACAAAACTAACACATCCAGGAACCATCACCTAACAGAATGTTCAACATACACAACCATGAGGCTCCAATCCAGTCTGCTCAGCTTCACAAATTTCAAAAGGGATCCGCCTTGAGGCTAAATGCATTAGAACCAGAATAATGTACTACCTATGAGATCCAGAGGCATAAAAACTGGCCAGTGTACCATTAGACCTCTAGCAACAAAAGGGTTAAAAGCTTGACATCTTATTTGTGACAACAATATGACCACATTTCACATACTACTGGCTGCTACACAATTAACAATATAAGAAAATTCTAGTTAACCTTGATTTTCAGCTATGGCCATAAAGCTGAGGAAATGGGAGATAAGTAATCCTGTAATTCTAAAGAGAGGTATGAGACACATCCTGCTAGGACTTGCTAGGAGCTGGCTCATTGGTCCAGTGGCCATCCATGCAACTGCCCATAGGAAGGGAGGATACTATGCAGGGTGGGAATTCATAGGATTAGAGATGGGCATGGTGTTTTCCCTTCCTTACAAGCCAAGTTGTAGAGATACCAAGAAAATTCCCTGGAGAGAGTGTGTGGGGATGAGGGTTGGAAGGTGCGAGCAAAAATGGTAGACTGGAAACTTATTGGGGCTGAGAGCAGTTTGGAGCTTCTGACAGTGTTGGAATGAAGAAAGGAGGGGGCAACAGTGGGAAGAAGCCCTATTTCTACTATTGGAACAAGAAGTGTGTGAGTAGGGGTGGATTATCCAACAGGCGAAGTAAGCACAATGTTTGCCTTGCTTACCAGATCATCTGTAGTGAACAATTTCACATTTTTTTACCACATCAAAGATTCTCCTTGTAGGTATGGTTGGCATCTGTCTCTCTCCAAATCCAACAGTGGCTTCCTACAGAATCAAAATCTCTTTTTAAATTTATAATCCCTGACAGGGGTGGATGACCCAGTAAGCAAGGTAATCATGGGCTTACTTGTGCTTGCTTACTTCTGTAGCAAACAATTTCATTGATGTGGTGAAATCCATGTGAAATTGTTCACTACAGATGATCCGGTAAGCACTGTGCTTGCCTTGTGTATTGCATAATCCACCCCTGGGTGTGAGTTCAACTTGAAGACAGAAGGACTGAACTCATCTTGAAAGGACCTTACCCAAGAGGTCCTGTCTGCTGGGGCTACCCCCACCAAAAAAGAAAAGCATTGCTGGAGGGTGGAAGGCAAGGTGTTAGCTGGTGCAACAGGTCAACCAGAATGCACCTTAACTACTTTGGGGTGCGGGTGTCCCAACGAGGGGATTGCTAAGGTGGGGGAGTGTCTCTGAAGAATTCACAGAAGCACCCCCATGAAAAAGAGGCATGTGATGCCCTCCATGACTGGACTTTTGTGAGCACTAGCTGTGGAAAACAGCCTTTGTCTTCACTCCAAGTCCATCCTCTCCTCTCTAACGCTGGAGAAGCTCTAAGCAGAAGGGAAGAAATAGAGCCAAGAGAATGAAAAAACAGGTGACAGTCCCACTGCCCTCTCCCCCATTTTTGGTCCCAGGTCTACTCTAGGAGGACGGGAGAAACTTTAAATTGAATATTAGGTTACTGTTTTGGTTTGTTGTTGTTTTAATACCTCAAGATATAGCTTTTTAAATACTTTAATGTGATCCCAGGGCCAGAGGATTGGCCCAAATTGCTACCAGGGTTGGGAAAGGAGATATGAATGAGTGTGTTGGAAAGTGGATGACAGGAGAAAAATAAAGCAGTTTCCTTTTAATACTCCAGTAGTTCAGCTCATTCAATAAACCGATTATAGGCATTACACTTACACCAAGGAAGATCTGATTTTTTGTTAACTTTTATTAACTGCATCTTGCATTCCCCTTTGGGTGTGATTCATTTAGGTCTATGCACCCATTAAGAGATAAGCCTACCCTCAGAAGAAATATCACATACTTCCTCACTATACACAGCCTAGGAGCATCTTGGTAATTTATTCTTCTTCCATCTAGATGTTAAAATGTTGTCAGTGGATTCTGCACTCTTGGTCAGTGTTTATTGTATTTGACATTGGATTAGAATGAAAGTAAAAGAAAATAAAGACAAAAATCCTAAAGCGTGGCAGGACACCTTTGTGACTGCCTTACATTTTCCCCTTATAAATGATGGATTGCTTTTTCCTGCCTATTTTATCAGGGCTTCCAATAATGCCACTCCAATTGCTTAGAGATGTAGTAGGCCATGTGCACAGATGGCGGAGAGGCCAGCTATAAATATAAATTAAGCAATGAGGCTGACCATAGTAGGAAGAACACAGTTCTCTCTGTTTAAGTTTTAACAATAAACGGTCACCATGTATTTTCAGGCACTTTGTGGGCTCACATTGCCCAGCTGTTCAGCTTTGGCCTGCCCACAAGCTCATGGCTGGGAGTCCCTCTTGGCAACCATAACAATCTGCTTCTCACTGAAGCACAGACAATGACCTATTAGAGCCACTGTCCATTGTTGGAAAGTATTTACATAAGCCTAATGAAGTTGCAATCTAGTCTTTTATATATAGTTAGCGACTCTGTCTTTAGCAATTAGTGACTTCGGGAATAAAGTAAACATAATCTGCTAAATTAAACTGAGCTAATGACTTGTTTTTCTCTCCAGAAAATAAGTCGGGGAAAAATATTTCAAATGTGTGCTCTGTAATATGTGAAATAAACATGATTTCCTCGAGGTAAAGATCAAGGTCAATAGTATTTAAAAAGTCATTATACCATGGGAGGGTCTATAAATAATGGAACATTTCTGACATTGTAACACCAAGAGACAGTTCCAGACTGCTGCCTGTCTCTCCAAATATAACACAAACACACACCCATTAGCACGCACATGTGCACGCATGCTCACCTGCACGCTTAAGAAGACTGGGTAAACATCCAAAATGTTTAACCATATAATATTGGTGGTGGTGAGTGGAAGTTAAAACAATTTAGCCAATTTAGATCAGTTGTATTGTCTATTAATCTCTTCTTAGAGCTGAGAAGAGGAATTCTTGGTTTTTATTTGCTTGTTTGTTTTGTTTTATTTGTTTTGTTGTGGTCTAAGAACCCCCCTTTCCAAATCAAGGAGATTAACTAGCATCTTCAAGCTCACTCTTTAGTGAGTAGCCCAGCCAGAAAGTGTTAAGAATGTGTTAGATGTTCCA